CTATAGGGCTGCTCTCCCCTATAGGGCTGCTCTCCCCTATAGGGCTGCTCTCCCCTCCACGCGTGCACCAGGATCCTCCTCCCTGCTCCACAGCAGGGCAGGAGGCCCCGTCCCCCGCTATGGTGCAGCAGGGCTCCTTGCAAGGGCCCTCCTATAGGCCTAGCCCTGTAGGGGCCCTCGCTGTAGGGTTCTCCTTGGTTGGGTTTGTGGGGAGCAGACGTAGCTGGGACCGTCCCTGAAGCCTTTAGGTGCGGTCGGTGTCATCCCGTCACGGGGGAAGCGCCATCCGCCCCACGTCCCGGCTCCTTCCCTGCGGGTGCTGACGTTGGTTGGGCTTCAGACCGGCCTCCCGGTGCTTCCCGCCCGGCGCCCACGGAAGCAGCGGCCGAGGTGGCCAGAAGCGGCAGTGGGGCGGCCGTGGTCGGTCAGAAACAGCAGGGGAGCGACCGTGGGCGCTGTGGGGCGGCCGTGGGCGCCATGGGGCCGGGCGCTCATCGTTGTCGTCATCGCCGCACGGGCCGGGCGCCCTGGGGCAGACTGTGACTTGTTGTGGTGAGACCAGCCAAACAACAACAAAATCACTAGTCTTCCACAGGGCGCCGGGCAAGTCCCTCCTCGTCCCCGCGTGGACGGCCTCAGCGGGGACCCGTCCTGAGCCGCCCTGCCCCGTTCCCAACGCGGACGGGCCGAGCGTGGCGCTGGCGTCAACGTGTGCCCCCGCGCCAAGCGCGCAGGCCGAGCGCTGCGATCGCCGTTTCCCCTTAACCCACCTGCGTAGGATTAGAAGAATTAAATTGCCCCGCAATCCAGTTTTACCTCAGTGTTTTCCATTTTTCTTCTGGCTGGCAAACTGCGTGGCCTCGCGGATGCAGCGGCCCTTCCTCAGGCTGCAATGATGCAGGTGCAAAGTAAGAAGACGCTTTCCCTGCCCCTCCGTTGGCTCCTGCTCGGCAGCAGCCAGCGGCTCCACAGTGTTTTGTGGCCTTTCCGTGGAGCTGCCCAACTCCGGTGCGGCGGGAAAGAGAGAGGGGGGTGATTTTGGCACCTGGGGAAGGTGGCTCCAGGTTTTCCAGGGAGCAAAGCCCTCCAGGTGCCTGTTAACAGAGGGTTGTGCTGCCTGGGGTGTTCCTCACCAGTGGGCAAGACTTAGTGATTTGAGTGCAATCATGGTCCTCTTCAATGGGGTTTCTTGTTACGAGATCCTCGTGGTCCACCTTGGTTCCCCAAGGTGTGCAGGACCTGTTTCCTATAGAAAGTTCCCCTCTGTCAAGTCACCTCTGCAAACGCAAATGGGATCCAAGAATGGGGAATGGATCCAAACAACCCCTTATCTCCCCTTGAACTGTTGCAGTGTTGGTGACTTACCTGCACCTCTTACAGTTTCTTTGCCACCACCAAGCTGGCCTTGAGCCGCTGGCCACAGCTCTGCAGGGCCGGCCTGGCAGTGACAGCCTCTCCCCAGGCCTGGGAGATCCATTGGGATGCAAGATGTGGAGTCACCTCACATCCAGAGGAGACTGGGATTGCTCTGAGCTTCTCAGAGACCTGGCAGAGGACAGGAGCAGGATAAGAGCTGCAGCCAGAATCCGGCCATAGAAACCTACCTAAACACTCTCAAACCTCCTGGCTGAGGTCCATGCCCCTCCATGCACCGTGTGTGTTGATGAGCGAGTCTGGCATCCCTGGTCGGCCACTGCCTGCCCACAACTAGCCCATCCAGCTCTCCTGCTCTGTGCTCAGCTGCCTTCCTTTTTTTTGTTTTATACCCTGTTTTATAAGAGGCACGTGGCTCCCCTTGACAGCGCTCAGTTTCAGCTCTACCCCTCCTGGTTCCAAAGAAATCTTGACAGTAGCAATTAAGAGCTTATGGGGGGGAGGCAGAAGCTTTTTCCAGCTTTAAAAGGCCACAATAGGTCTGACTGCAAGGGAAGTGTGGTTATTTTCCTCCCATATCCCAGATATAGGCTCCAGCAACCTCTAAGCTTTAAGTTTAGTATTATCAGCAGATAGTTCTCATGTCATCTCCTGCTCCCGTGAAAAGGGAGGCTGCTTCTGCAGGGGAAAATCTGCACAGCAAAGAATTTGCAGCAGGGAGGTGGCAGAAGAAGCACCCGGAAATCTGGGAGCAGCCTGTGGATTGTTGTCCTGTTGGCTCCGCTTGCTCATATCCCATCCGGAGCCTATGTAAGGTGTAAAAGCCACAGGAGGGCCATGTCCATGACAAGGACAAGTCTTGCGACTTCCCATGCAAGCTTGTTTGTGGGGAGGTGGCTTCAGGACAGGTGTCGCTCATCTCTACAAGGTCCTGTCATCTCACTGTGGATTGAGGGTTTGGCACCGTGCGGTAGAAACTGTGCTTTGGATGTCACAGATGAGCCAAGAATTAAGATGAATATAGAACATGCCAGAGCCCAGGAGAGATCTCTGCAGTATTTCCATAATTTCAAGTAATAGGGAAATTTGTAAAACTCAGGGTAGATCATGGATAGAATAACAGGCTAAATTTGTCAGATGAATAATTTACTAGAAGTGATTGGCCCCTCTCCAAGAGAGACAAGGCGGCCTGCTCTGGGGCTGGGCAGCCTCGTGGTTGTCCTTGGCCGGGAGCCATTCTCCTTCCTGCCACATTGTCACTGCTCCTGTGCTGCAAGTTGCCCTTCAGACAAGGGGCCTGCCCTCGGGTTGCGGCTTTCCATGGCTGCAGGATTTTCCACAAAGCTCAAGGTCCCTGCAAAGACCAAATACAGCCCTCGGGTGGGCGTTTTGTCCTGTAGTTTCAGCGTGCTCCCCTGCGCAGCCAAGCCGGGCAGTGCCCTGGTGCCCGTGGGCGTAAGCTGGCTTGGGGCATAGGGACCGAGCTGGCCCTGGCCCCTTCCCGTTCTCCATGCGCATCCCTGTCCCTTGGCCGCGGCTCCTGCAGCCTCCCCGCTCCACGTGGATGAGGGGATAGGGACATGGAGACATTGGGGACGGGAAGGGAGAGGAGCCAAGTCCCAGCGCTGGGACGAGGCGGCAGCAGGCGGCCGGCAGGCAATTAGCACGCGCATGGGCATGAATGAGCGTCAGTAATTCCAGGTAAGCTCCCCGGGAGCACTGGGCGGCCGGACGGAGCCTCCCGCTGCCCAGGGAGCCCTGGGCGAGCAGAGGGCTCCAGCAGCGCCCGCACGGCCCTGCTGCGACTCCAAAATGCCTCATTTCCCAGCCCCGGCCCGGCCCCGTGTCGTCGGCCGCTGCTGCAGAGCGGGAGCGGTACCTGTAGAGCGCGGTGCCGGCAGCGCCTGGCACCTCGGGGCGCTGCACAGAGGTGCCCTGTTGGCACAAATGCCCTTCTGGAGGAGGGTGGACCGGCCTTGGAGAGGTTGGGGGCTCACTCTGGTTTCCTTCCATTGCTGGTGTTCACACCAGGGTCTTTGGAGCATCACCAGCACTAGCCACATCATCTCCTTACTGCTGTCCTGGGTATGGAGGAGGTCCCATGTGTTGGCTACGAGGCAGGAACAGCTTTTCCTCCGTGGATGAGAAAGGACAACTTCAAGGCAGGAGAGAGAAACACGAGCCCAGAGGAGCTCTGCAGCAGGAGGACGGTGTTGGCGAGAGGGGAAGGGGCGCTTGGCACCTGCCTACCACAAGCTGAGGAGCCGTCATGGTCCTGGGCTCTGCTGGCCACCTCACACCATCCCAACTGGCAATGGTGGTGCAAACTGGTGCAAACACCTTCATTCTGCGGGGATTCTGGATAGCTGGAGAGATGATTAGAGGACAGGCACAGGTAGAATAGGCAGTGCTGAGTTACGTAGGAAGGAGAAGCAGCTCTCAGTCATCTCCCTGCTGTGAGCAGCCCGTGGCCCCATCATGGACCCTGATGGAGCCATCCTGGGCTGCAAACTCAACTGGTTTATGGTCTGAGCACATGGTTATGAGGACACAGAAAAGACATTAAAGCAGTTTTCCAGGTCTTCGCCATGGTGCAGTTAGAGCCCTGCACGCAGAATTCTCCTGTAAAATGGCAACAGCTCCTGCTCTGTGGAGCTGGACTGAGGCTGGGATTTGTCCCAGGTTCAGGGACAGCTGCTTGAACTGGAAGGGAACCAAGGCAAGAAGTCTGGGTGCTAACTGAGAAACATCAGCCACAGAAGCTGATGGTTTCTGCAGCTTGTATCACTGAGGGCCTTTGTGAAGAAGTGAGGTGCATCTCTGTAGGGTCTCAGACACCTGGATCTAGGGATTTCGTAGTTCCTGCTTCATTCCTGAATGCTTTGGCTGCAGCTCCTCCCTGGAGTCCCTGACTCTTGAGCTGACTCATTCCCAACCTCCAGAAGACCATAACCTTCCTGGCCAGGGTCTCAGGAGAAGGGGGCAGAGCCGTGGGGGCCTTGCGGAGTGCCCAGTGCTGAAAAGCCCTGCCTGCAAGGCAGAAAACAACGTCCTTGCGGTGAGAGCCGCTTTGCGGCTCCGAGAGCTGCCGGGCTGCTCCTCAGGCCTCGCCTGCTCCCTGCACCCGCATGGCAGCCCCTCCATCCGGGCAGACCTTCTCCCGAACCGCATCCTGGGATTTCCCAGGCAGTCTTGGCTGAGCATCGGGACGTGGCGCAAGGCAGGAGAGCAGCAACCGCCCCATCCCGAGGCGGGAGGGCCGATCCCAAGGTGGGAAGCGAGGGGAGCGATGGCTGGACAAAGCAGGTGGCTCCGGCTGCTCCTCCCGGCCCTGCCCGGCGGCCTCGTCCCCCGGAGCAGCCGGCAATTCCGGGCCGCACGGAAGCTTCATTATCGCCCTGTCGTGGCCTCGTTTGATGAGACGTTTTATTGCCAAACTTATTAGAGGTGAAACGTGCGGTTTCTGCTCAGCAATTTCCTGTGCGCGGCGATAAGCCGGGCCGTGCCCGCTGCGTGATAAACAGTTATTTTTATGTACGTCTCTGCCTGGGGCGGCGAGAGGGAGCCAGGGCCCGGCTCGCGTTAATTGCCGTGGTTAATGAGACCTATTTTGGGCCGTGCGTGCGGGGGTGCGCGTGCCTTGCCCCTGCCGCCGCGTTGTGGCCCCGGTGGCTTCAGTGGGGCATCCCTTCTCTGCACGTTAAAGCACATTGAAGTCATTGCCCCTGTCTCAGCTCCGGGAGGGAAGGGGCACAAGCCCCACAGAGATCCCTCCTGCGGCTTTGGGTGGTCACTTCAGGGAGCCGGGTCCTGGGATCTGAGTGAGGCACCCGGAGCACCCCCTGCCTCCTTAGCCACGGGAGGGTCTTGACCTGAGGTGTAAGTGGGACCTCCTCTCCTCTCCTCTCCTCTCCTCTCCTCTCCTCTCCTCTCCTCTCCTCTCCTCTCCTCTCCT